AAAAGACACCTGAGTGCAGAAATGAAAGAGGTCATTTTGAATATATATAAGATCGAGCGCGAGGAGAACGAGGCATCAACCATCAAAGAAATTGTTGTGAAGGTTTCTTACAAAGTTGGGGTGTGTCGCGCATCAGTGTTTAATGTGTTATGACAATACAAAAAAAATCACACCTTTTCTGAGCCAATGACCAGTAAACATCGCAAAAGTATTGTTAAATAATTGGAGGAAGCTGATAAGCATGCGATTAGGAGGAAAGTGCATGAATGCTTCTTTAGGAATGAAATACCTACTATAGATAAAGTACTGCAGGAGGTAAATGGAGATACAACGTTGCCAAATTTCAAACGATCAACTTTTCATGCGTTACTGAAGCATTTAAATTTCAAATGGAAAAAACGGGCTCGTAATAGTTTACTACTGGATAGAGAAGAAATTGTGCTATGGAGAAGGGATTATTTAACAAAAATTGGGAAATATAGAAATCAAAACAGGAAGATTTATTACCTTGATGAAACGTGGGTAAACGCAGGACACACTACAAGTAAAGTATGGGTTGATGATTCTGTAACTTCATCCAGAAGGGCCTTTCTAGATGGACTGTCCACCGGATTAAAAAATCCAGCAGGTAAATACGAGTAATAGACAACAATCGGATGTTTTTCAAACCTTGGGAACAAGGTTCTAAACATTAATTCCAGGGGGCAGATAAAACATATTACAAGTAACAAAACTTTTATAACTTTCGATAAAATGCGTGGATGTTTTATTGTCATTTTCATTTGTTAGAACTTTTTTAAGCCATGTTTTTATGTGTTTTCGATATTTCAATAATTTTTTAGTATAATCTTAAAATATGTCGAATATTATAAACTTAAAAAAAGTTACTAAGTTTTATATTGTGTACCGTTCCTAATATTTCTAATCATTTTAATTCATACTTTAAGCTTTATAAAGTTATAATTTGTTAATATTAATATTTGCGCGTATTTCAGGTTCCTGATCATTCATTTTTTAAAGGTTTATAACTTTAAATTAAATTGTGAAGCGCTGAGTAATCATACCACGTTCAATATTCTTTCTTTCAATATGACTAAATAATCCCAATTATAGCAATCTGATACTCATGTCTCAATGTTTTTTCGCTGAATGTGATGAAAACATTTGAAAAAGGTTCGCTTATTGAAATAAATCTACACCAGTTAGTACTTCGATTTCCAGGTAAAGGGAAAAGGCTCATTATCTGCCATATTGGCAGTGAGGATGGATTTGTTGTTGACGGTCTGTGGTGCTTTGAGTCTAAGAAAACTGGAGATTACCACGAGGAAATGAATGCCGAATCGTTTGAACAGTGGTTTTCAAAAATTTTACCGAACTTAGAGGAAAACGCAGTAATTGTGTTGGATAATGCGCCTTATCATTCTCGAAGAATGGAGAAGGTCCCAACAACGGCTTCAAGGAAAGTTGATGTTCAAAATTGGCTCCGCTCGAAAAATATCAACTTTGAAGAAGCAATGCTGAAAGTACAATTATTAAGAATTGTCAAGGATCACAAGGCGGAATATCAAAAATACGCCATTGACGAAATGGCAGCAAGTCAAAATAAAACTGTGCTCCGTTTACCTCCATACCATTGCGAGCTCAATCCCATTGAGCTCATATGGGCAGAGGTTAAAAATTATATAGCTAAGCACAATACAACTTTTAAATTTTGTGACCTCAAAGGACTTTTCAAAGAAGCACTAGAATTAATAACAGCGCAAAAATGGGAAAACTGTATTAAGCACGTGAAAGACAAATTTGAAAAGAGAATGTGGGAACTGGACAATATTTTAGAGGAACAAGTCGAGCCATTCATTATTGACGTTGGTGCTTCAGGCAGTAGCGATGATGAAAGCTCATCAAGCTCATCTTTCCAATAAAAGATGTCGTTCATCAAATTCGGTAAGTTATAATAAGTAATTATAAAGCTACTGTATTTTTTAATTAATTATTGACATTTTTGAACCCATTTTGGCAAAACCTATTCAAGAATCTACTTTCTGACAATGTTCAACCATGCACATTTTTTTACGTTTTGAACGTTTTAATTTGGTTACATATTTACCTAGAAATCAAAAAATATACTAATCAATATTCTAAAAGCAATTTTAAGAGATATACGATTATTTTTAATTTAGGCTAATTTAAACGCCATTTTGAGATTATATTTGACTGTATTTCACCAAACATCAGGCGGCATCCGAAGCTGGAAATCGAAGCGAAAATTTTGAAACCCTTATGTATATTTACATCATTATATATTTCTTATCCCACCCCCACATGATCCTATATCCATCACACATCGAATTGTGCTAATTTACTACAAAGTTACGCAAAGCAGCATCTACTATCTAAAATATGTACTGCGTGACTCTTAATACGTCCCTGCCGAATGTTACAGCGTTCGATGATCACGTGGTCTTGTTTATGTCCGGTCTATCTCTTATCTGAATATACTGTATACATTCCGTTTCCATTCCATATCAGTTTCGTAAACGTTCAGTACAATTTGATTGTATACACAGTATACCTTACGGATAATGTGCATACACAGGCAATAGCCTGCTTTAAGCGAAGGCGAATATTTAATTTCAATAATTTACGGAGTGGTTACGGAATGGAAACGGAATGTATAGTGAGAATCAACCTTTATACTGTGATTTTCAGAAAGGTCGAAAGCTAAAAACTGACGAATAAGTAATATGGGAGACCGGGAACACCTGTACACAACAAAAACGCAGTCGCGTCCGTCACGTTGCCGGTCAGTAGTTTGCGAATATAAATCATATGCACGTGAGCCGGTGAAAAATATTGTCTTTGTAATAAAAAGTAAGATTATTAGGCACGTTTACCGCCAATTTCACCAACATTAATGTTTGACGGTCAGTTGGACCAGTAGGAAAAGATCTTATCGAAATGCAATTAGACGGAAGCTGCCAAAGCTCTCTGAATATCAGTGATTGCCTTATAAATAAGAGTACACTATATAGGGTGATTCAAACTGGGTTTCTACATTAAAAGTATTTAAAAAAACGAAGAAAATTATAAAAAAGTATGTATTTGTCCTTTCAGGGCAGTTCATTACAATTATGAATGAAAGATGATATCAAGTAAATGACCGCGGCTCATGTGGCATGACGTAATCTGTTTCGAGAAATTTTCGACTACTCCGTGGCACAAATCAGGTCCTATGTTGGTAATTTCGCGTCTGATCTTGTTTCAGCTCCGCAATTGTATTCTTGTAGGCTTTGCTCTTGAAATACTTCAAAGAAAATAATCTAAGGGAGTTAAATCACAGGATCGCGGCGGCCAGTTGATATCGCGGTTACGTGAAATAACGCGACCTGGAAACTTGCCGCGCAGTAATTGTATCGTTGCTCCTAATGTGTGACCTAGGCTTCAATTCCTGTGTTATTTGGACTCCGTATGGGTGTAACTTCAAATCTTTTTTTAAAATCCGGTGTATAGTGGAATAAGTAAATCCAGTTGCTGCGATCGATGACGAATCGAGGTTCTTCGATTTTCGGCCACACTTTCGACAACAATAGCAATATTGTGTTAGCTACGGATCCAGTTTGCTCGAATTTTTGCACCAAATTTCAATTTGTCCTCTCACAAGGCCGATTTTGTGCTCCAAAAAATTCACGTAAAACACGAAATGTTTTCTTCCTTGTTCGGCCGTTTTCATTATAGGCTTGTTAACACGTTGTTCGGTCGCATATTGCTTCATGACTTTTGTTTATATTTTGACGTTAGAAATGGCACGTTGTCCTTGACAAATTCAGTGGCGTTAAAAAAAATTATTTGTAATGTGGAAGCTCAATTTGAATCACCCATTAGATGTAATAGTCTTTGTGATTTAGAATTAGGACAACGTTCTCATAGAATTTTAGATGTTTATCGTTTCACAAAAGACGGTCAGTTATTCAAATGAACCAATGAAAATGAGAAAAATAATAGGTCGATTTTCTAGCTATTATATTTAGTATATCAGGTACAGGGTGTTGTACATAATACGTACCTGTAGAAAAGTACCGATTTTTGTTATTTTGCAAAAAAAGGATATAAAACGTATTCCAACTGGTTCATCATCTTTTGATACATCAAAAACAATTTTTGCGAATTTATGATATAAAAATCCACACCAAATGTAAACAAACAGCACAATCTGCATTTCTGGGTCCTAAAACATCGATATTTGTGAAAGTAAGTATCCGCATCCACCTATTATTCATCGTCTAGATATTATAATACCTATTTATGAAAATATATCTCCAAACATTGTTATTATTTCAATTATCATAACACAACTGGGGATATCAATTGCTTTTAAAGTGATCTGCACATCTGCAGTGTTGCCGAACCGGCAAAAAAAACGGCATCGGTAAATAGTGTCGTTGGTTTGGTATCAGGTAAATGCCGTCCCAAGGTCAGTAGTACAGTATATTCAGATAAGCGATAGACCGGACATAAACACTGTCGTGTGACAGCAGAACCTAGTAAGTCACTTTTTATCAGGTTTGAGAAATAACATATTTTCAATAAACATTCGGCTTTCGAAAAGTTTAAGTTTTATGAATATTAAAAAAATTGTCTGAAGGGTTATGTAACTTGCTAAATTCGATAGCATCAATTTTATTCATGTGATAGTTTTGTTTATGGTAGAAAAGTGACTTACGTTTTTTTTTTCATGGTTTCTTTTTCGATATTAAATTAAGATACTTTAGCAGAAAATGATAAGTCAACTTACTGATTTTTACAAAATTTCGACTAGAGAAAATAAAAAAAAAAAGATATTGTAAGTGTACTTACTAAGGTTTTATTTGATATAATTTATGTGCGAAGGCGAACACAAAAAGTAACATATCTACTTACTAACTGGAAAATAAACATTTGAATGAAAAACGGTGGAACATAAAACAGCAAGTCTACATACAAGAAGAACAAGAACTTAAGCGCTAAGCCTCTGATACCACACATAAGTCTTTGGAATTATCATTAGATGGCAAAAACTGCCAAAATAGTTTCTTTCTTTCATCTTTGAAGGATGGTACCAATTTTTTTAAAATTGTTTCTCTTTTTTCTGAGTTCAATCCCAGTGTCTCGACAAAAGGATGTATAGGGAATTTGAGATCAACTTTTTTTTTCAAAAACTCGACTTCCTGAAAGACAGTTTCATTATGGCATTCTTTATAAAACAAGTGTCTGCATCCTTTGCGAAACTGAGCGAGCTTAATTTTTTCAAGAAGAGGTATATTATTGCTTTTTCTTTGTTTGCTTCCATCTTCAAAGAGGAAAAAATCAAAATTATTTATAGGCAAACATTTAGTTTTTTTTGAGGACTGCTCAATTATTTTCAGAAGCTGTTCAAAATCATAAATGTTTGGGTGTTTTTTCATTTCTGTGTTGATTCGGCCATGAACCGAATCCGCAGCCATAAATGAATGGCCTGGTTCAAAATATTTTAGGGTGATCTCTTCTGGACCCCATTCACAATTTACAAAAGTCGCAAAAGCAGAATATAGTGTCCAATTCTTGTTCTGAGCAGAACAGTTGTCTACCCAGAATGTAAATTTTTTGGTAACATTGTCTGAATTTTTTATTACGTTGTAGTATGCCGATGCAACATCCGTCGCGGACCTGCCTCTTATAGCCTCATGCCACATCACGCAAATATTTCCGTCCTTATGAAGTGACGCAAACGTCTCATTGAATACGACCAACCTGCAACAACAAATATAGAAGTATATAAAAGTTTAATACAATTATATATAATTATAAACGAAGTACCTTGAAACAAAAAAAGATTCCTTGGTTGACATTTTGGGCAAGAGTAAGACTTTCTGCATATCTACAGCATAGACCTTCTCATCTTGCATTACCTCTTGATTGGAGTCATTTTCATAGTGCTGTCTTGCTTCCGTATAACTTTTTTTGTGGTTTTCGAATTGACAACAAATCTTGCAACTACTTGCGTCGCATTGGCGAATAATGTGAACTTTATGTTTTAGACACTGAGCGCATTCGTCTTGGGATGGCTTTTTAAACCCAATATTCTGTTTTTCAAAAATTCTTCTGTATAGATCATATGAAATTTTCTGTAGATTACAGAAGTCTTGCCAGATGTATTTAATGGTCAAGTCAGGTGGCAAGAATCGTCTATTCGGGGTGTGCTTTAAATTATAGTGAGATACTACCGGATTGAATGAGTTTATATGCTTTATGACAATTTCCTCTGTTCTCATTTTTTGTTCTTCTAGCATGCCTCTAATAACTAACCCCCTTTCATCCACTGTTTGTGCAATTCCTTCTACACTTCGCTTTTTGGAATGTATATGGCAAGTTATCATACCATCTGTTTTAAGTCCTAAAGTATGCAAAAACATTGTTTTGCACACTTGTATTTTTTCAAATTTAGCTTCAGTTTCCACTGGAAGGGGTAGAAAATATTTCAGAGAAACATTCCTGGAAGAGCGCTGAGCCTCTTGCCGCCTTACTTTGATTTCAAATTGTTTGATATGAGCATCCAAAAAAAGTCTACGCTCGCCAAAGCTGAGTCTCCAGAATTTCGTTCTTATCAATTCTCTAAAGTTCTCATCATTGATTTTTGAGCTACATTTCTGCCTGCAATTATTATGGCATGATAGCAGTAGGGGGTGCTTTTCTTGCTTGTCTGGCCTTTCTTGGGAAACTCTGCAGTTTGCATTCACATTCTCGTTGACTTTTTTCAAAGGCTGCCTGTTTTTGAGGGGCGCAAGCGATACGTCATCAAAGTCCGAAAATTTAATTTTTTTCCTTCTAGGGGATACTGACGGCTCATAATTTGGGTCTGCATCAGAATCGTCATAATCTGATATAGGTTCTTCATCATGTTGCTGACGCTCTTCGAGAGGTTCATTTCTGAAAGATAAAATAAATAGAGGTCAGCGGTTTGAATATATATTTCAAATACGAAAACCGTATTGCAAGAATTAGCTTTTTGTTTGTAGTAATTATAATCTTTTATTTTACTGAAAAAAAAACATCAAACTGCAATGTTACTCCTGAGTTAATATTTCATTTGGCTTATATGTAATGTATGATGCTTGCACTCACCTCTCTGTAATGCATAAACTCGTTATGAATTTTCCTCTCGACATATTCTGGATATTAACTACAGTACTAACGTTAAACTAATTCGCGACTGTCCTCACCGATCCACACTCTATGCCAGTTGGAACATGACTGCGGAAACGCTGTAGCATGCATCCGTGCCTACACTCAATCGGCTTGAAATCATGGCATGAAAATTTAGCAAAAACTAGCAAGTGCGTTTACGACGGAGTCTCCCGCCAAATTTCCTACAAAAAAAAATCTTCAAAACGTAGCATGTAGACATGCTATCATTTGTTGATTTTTTAAATGCTGTTCTGATGACTTACTAGGAAACATGAGACAAAGATATACGATTTAGAGTGCGTCTGAGCGAGAGAAAAAAATTCAACTAGTAGAACTTTTTACGGGCTTTTCAAAAATGACGTAAAAATGTAAAACCTAGTAAGTCGACTTACTAGGTTCTGCTGTCACACGACAGAACAAGACCACGTGATCATCGAACGCTGTAACATTCGGCAGGGACGTATTAAGAGTCACGCAGTACATATTTTAGATAATAGATGCTGCTTTGCGTAACTTTGTAGTAAATTAGCACAATTCGATGTGTATACGATTGGTGATGGATATAGGATCATTGGGGGTGGGGTAAGAAATATATAATGATGTAAATATACATAAGGGTTTCAAAATTTTCGCTTCGATTTCCAGCTTCGGATGCCGCCTGATGTTTGGTGAAATACAGTCGAATATAATCTCAAAATGGCGTTTAAATTAGCCTAAATTAAAAATAATCGTATATCTCTTAAAATTGCTTTTAGAATATTGATTAGTATATTTTTTGATATCTAGGTAAATATGTAACCAAATTAAAACGTTCAAAACGTAAAAAAATGTGCATGGTTGAACATTGTCAGAAAGTAGATTCTTGAATAGGTTTTGCCAAAATGGGTTCAAAAATGTCAATAATTAATTAAAAAATACAGTAGCTTTATAATTACTTATTATAACTTACCGAATTTGATGAACGACATCTTTTATTGGAAAGATGAGCTTGATGAGCTTTCATCATCGCTACTGCCTGAAGCACCAACGTCAATAATGAATGGCTCGACTTGTTCCTCTAAAATATTGTCCAGTTCCCACATTCTCTTTTCAACTTTGTCTTTCACGTGCTTAATACAGTTTTCCCATTTTTGCGCTGTTATTAATTCTAGTGCTTCTTTGAAAAGTCCTTTGAGGTCACAAAATTTAAAAGTTGTATTGTGCTTAGCTATATAATTTTTAACCTCTGCCCATATGAGCTCAATGGGATTGAGCTCGCAATGGTATGGAGGTAAACGGAGCACAGTTTTATTTTGACTTGCTGTCATTTCGTCAATGGCGTATTTTTGATATTCCGCCTTGTGATCCTTGACAATTCTTAATAATTGTACTTTCAGCATTGCTTCTTCAAAGTTGATATTTTTCGAGCGGAGCCAATTTTGAACATCAACTTTCCTTGAAGCCGTTGTTGGGACCTTCTCCATTCTTCGAGAATGATAAGGCGCATTATCCAACACAATTACAGCGTTTTCCTCTAGGTTCGGTAAAATTTTTGAAAACCACTGTTCAAACGATTCGCCATTCATTTCCTCGTGGTAATCTCCAGTTTTCTTAGACTCAAAGCACCACAGACCGTCAACAACAAATCCATCCTCACTGCCAATATGGCAGATAATGAGCCTTTTCCCTTTACCTGGAAATCGAAGTACTAACTGGTGTAGATTTATTTCAATAAGCGAACCTTTTTCAAATGTTTTCATCACATTCAGCGAAAAAACATTGAGACATGAGTATCAGATTGCTATAATTGGGATTATTTAGTCATATTGAAAGAAAGAATATTGAACGTCGTATGATTACTCAGCGCTTCACAATTTAATTTAAAGTTATAAACCTTTAAAAAATGAATGATCAGGAACCTGAAATACGCGCAAATATTAATATTAACAAATTATAACTTTATAAAGCTTAAAGTATGAATTAAAATGATTAGAAATATTAGGAACGGTACACAATATAAAACTTAGTAACTTTTTTTAAGTTTATAATATTCGACATATTTTAAGATTATATTAAAAAATTATTGAAATATCGAAAACACATAAAAACATGGCTTAAAAAAGTTCTAACAAATGAAAATGACAATAAAACATCCACGCATTTTATCGAAAGTTATAAAAGTTTTGTTACTTGTAATATGTTTTATCTGCCCCCTGGAATTAATGTTTAGAACCTTGTTCCCAAGGTTTGAAAAACATCCGATTGTTGTCTATTACTCGTATTTACCTGCTGGATTTTTTAATCCGGTGGACAGTCCATCTAGAAAGGCCCTCCTGGATGAAGTTACAGAATCATCAACCCATACTTTACTTGTAGTGTGTCCTGCGTTTACCCACGTTTCATCAAGGTAATAAATCTTCCTGTTTTGATTTCTATATTTCCCAATTTTTGTTAAATAATCCCTCCTCCATAGCACAATTTCTTCTCTATCCAGTAGTAAACTATTACGACCCCGTTTTTTCCATTTGAAATTTAAATGCTTCAGTAACGCATGGAAAGTTGATCGTTTGAAATTTGGCAACGTTGTATCTCCATTTATCTCCTGCAGTACTTTATCTATAGTAGGTATTTCATTCCTAAAGAAGAATTCATGCACTTTCCTCCTAATCGCATGCTTATCAGCTTCATCCAATGATTTAACAATACTTTTGCGATGTTTACTGGTCATTGGCTCAGAAAAGGTGTGATTTTTTTTGTATTGTCTTAACACATTAAACACTGATGCGCGACACACCCCAACTTTGTGAGAAACCTTCACAACAATTTCTTTGATGGTTGATGCCTCGTTCTCCTCGCGCTCGATCTTATATATACACGTATATTCAAAATGACCTCTTTCATTTCTGCACTCAGGTGTCTTTTTTTAGAGCGTTTCCTAGGTGGACTACAGGAGTTTACAACTTCATCGGCAGTATCTGTACTACTGGGCATTTTGCGCAAGCAGTTGATAACAATAACAATCAATAACAAGGTATAACAATAACAACGAGAAACTCAACAACTTAATAAGATAGCAAACGAAAACGTCCAAAGAAATATCAAATTGCAATGATGCACACGACATACGTAACACGTCTGAACCTGAATGTGACTCTGCCTTGATACGACTGCTCTGCTGCTCGGCATAGGCATTTAATTGCGAATTGACCAATGAGGGCTCCTGTTTTACGTCGAGACGGCGGCGTTAGCGTGAAAATCACCCGAACCTTTTGTTTACATCCGGTCTATCTCTTATCTGAATATACTGTAGATCTGTTTTACCCCTGAACTCATGAACTCACGTCTACATTTTAATTAAATATTCATTTTGAAAACAGGCAGATTTCGGTTTCTTTATTGCTTGTCCGGTGCTGAGGTAATGACGGTAATCTACCAGTCTGTATCTTTTGTATGCACAAAAATCAATTCAGGGCAAGCGGAGTAAGGGATGAGGATGTGCGTTCGTAATCATAGGCAACCCATATCTACGCCTATCATGTGCCTGAGTCTGTATGCATATGTATGATTGATATGGGGCACAAAGACTACATAAAATTAACTTTTAGCTTTATTTTTGATTTCAGCTCTTTTTAGGCACGTATAGAAATATTTAAATTATTTTGAAAAATTGTGGAGAGTGATGTTATCGGTAAATATTCTCTTTTCGGTAAAAATACCGAAAAATCCGGTTTAAGTCCATGCATAGGCAATCTGAAATTTGCAATATGAATTCATATTCTATGCATATCCGTTCATAACCGTCAATATTTCATTTGAAGCTTTTGTCATAATATTTTAGCAAAATGTAAGATAGTACAGGCAACACCACACCATGCAGCCCAGTTGACAAGAACGACAAGCTGTCAAGATAAGGGATGTTCAGATCCACGAAAAGTATCGTTATGTATCGATTCTTATCGTTTTAGTAAGTATCGATACTCTAAGATATTGGAATAAAATTATCGATATCCAGAGGAAGGAAACAAAGAAGAAAAGTAATCTGAAGTTAGTCACTCGTTCTGACACAGTCCGGATCGAAAGATGACGATACTCGTGAAATGTATCGATACACCCAAGTGTCGTATATAAAAATATCGATCCAAAATATCGGGTATGGGAAGCAAAAGTATCGATACTTCTAATTATAAGATCGTATCGAACATCCCTTGTGTCAAGATGTATCACCCGAGGTACCGACGCAGCTATTTTGCGGCGTCATGGAAATAATTTTAAATTTTCATTTGCATTTTTTCAAGTGTTGTGTGTCACTCGTTGGGGAGTTTTGAAATGTAATAATCAGCTGTTATTCAAATAATGTCTAATATAAATATAACCTAGAATGTGTACTCAGTGAAACAAGAAAGTTATTGCAAATTCTATTTTTTTTGTAGGTTTTAAGTTAGTTTGCCAGTAGCTTTACGACATATATTTGAGTATTTCTTAATCGCTGTAAATATACTGTGGATGTGTGTTCAGTTTCTGAATAACAAGAAATTATTTGACTTTATGGATGTATGTATATTAAAAATCCTGAATGGTTCTGTGAGAATGTTAATCGACGGTGCTATAATGGTACTGATGAACGGCAAGTAAATGAATGAATGTTTGGAAACGAGCAATATCTATGAAATGTTTGGTAGAGCCTGTCATCAAGTAGGTGCTTAATGGCTATCTGCAAGGAAAAAACACACGGTGTTTTGTCGCAGGTTATGAGATTTTCCTTTCCACCTTTAAGGAATTCTGAAAATACTAAATTTTAGGAATAATGAGGGAGGTTGAGGTGTGATTTTTCATCAGAGGTTGATGTAATGTTTAAGAACAATTTTCTTTAAACTGTTTTTATGATTTCTACGAGAATTACTGCGATTCAATTTGACCACATGCTGCGACGATGAAAATTGCATGTGACTGTCCAAATACAGCATAGGATAGGTCATCTTGGAGAATACGTTAATCAGATTAT